CTGGGATCCAGTGGGAAAAGGCTGCTCTGCTGTTCCAAATCTCAGTTTGGAAATAGGTAGAATATGCTTGGCTCCTCCCCCTGGGTGGAGCATCTCCCATGGGATGATAGAATTTTATCAGCCATGCCCTGGGACTGCAAGGCCCATTAACAGGAAAGATCTCCTGGAGGGAGGATGGGCTGTGGGAAAGAACACTGTCCCAGCTGGGTTAACACCTGGCCCATTAACAGCAGATATCTCCCACAGAGAGCAGGATCACTGCCCCAGCTGGTTTTAACAGATGGTGATAGAATTCATACTTTTGGTCACATCCTGTATTGCAACCCAAGACCCTCAAACATGCCAAAGCAGTTGCATACAGACATAAAGGGGCAGTGCAAGGTACCTGTGAGAATTTCCCCTCAGAGGTGAGGAGATGCTCAATCTGGATGCACTTGTGACCCCACTGTTCCCTTGTGGACAATCAGCCCATGAGCCACAAACAGGAGAGATCCCAGCTCAGAGAGGGGTCACTGGTCCAGGAGAGCTCCAAGGCTCTAATTTTCCCCACTGTTTATAGGGTCACAAGAGAGGGACTTGAGTCACAACATTGTTCCATCCTCGTCCCATTTCAGACTGGCACAAGCTCTTTGGAATTGCGAGAACAGAGATGTTGTGCCATTCAGACCAGAAAAGTCAGTCCCAAGGCTGCCCCTAAAGAAGACAGGAACTCATTAGAATACCTAGCCTTGGAATACCTGGACTGTCAACCCTTCAGGAACATTTGACTGCACTCCACCACATGGAAATAGAAAATTTGCATCAAATCAGATGAGAACTGAGTTAAAAATATGAGAGCAAAGCCCTGATTGGGGAAAAAAATGCATTCCAACCCATAAAAGCATTGGTATCCTTTGCCAAACAACAGCTAAATTTAAGTAGAGAGGTCCATCTATCTTGCTAAAATTTAATTCTTAAGATTAACTGGATCTTTTACATTAAGAACCTTTCCTATTTGATTTGACTGTAGCAAAGCTCAAGAGGGAAACAACATCCTACATCCTTTGGGATTTCTGGCTGGAAGTTTCAGCTACAGGTTCATGGGGAACTAAACCACGGAAAAATGATTCAGCAAACATTGACGTGGCTTCAGGGATCTGCTTTTCCACTTGTGCTGCCACTGATTTTTCCTCAACAGTCTGACACTAAATTCAGTCCAATGCAAAAGCTGAGGGTTTATTCAAATCAAGTGGGAATGGGCAATGATTTAAAGACAACAAGAACCCAAAGGGATTCCTGAGAGGCTGGATTCATTGCACACTGTCTAAACTTGCCTGATTTGTCAGGAAGACTGATACCAGAGCTCTGTTCAGCCTGGGGGGAGGCCAAGGCCTCTGTGACCCAAAGCCATTCCTGAGGGAGCTCGACACAGCCTCCCACCAACCCCTGCACAGGAACAAACACACAGACATATCCTCAGCCTGCAGGTTGGGAAAAATAAAAAAATCTCTTGAAAAAAAAACAAACTCTTCCAGTTCGACCAACCAGCCAGCTGTGCAAAAGGCTTTGGTGAACCCAGAGATGGCCTGAGAATTAAAACCATACAGACCCCTGGGTGCTGCTGTGGAATTAGCAATGAAAGCCACGCAGAGGGCATGGGAAGCGTTGCAGAGCAGTTCACACTTTCAGTCACAGAGAGAATCCAGCTGGTTTCAGCTCCTGCTGCTGAGCCAGCCACACACCCTGGGGTGCCTGCTGTGTGCAGCCAGGCACCAGCAGAGGATGGGGGCTCCTGGTGCTGCTCACAAAGGCCTGGAGCTGGACAAGAGTCACAGTGCTTTGGGAAGGTGTGGCAGTGGTGAAGGTACATTTGTGAAAACACAACAATTTGTGAATACAAGATCAGAAGTTCTCATGGAAAATCAAGTCTGTGTTCAGATGGCTGCTGTACACCCTGAGAGAGGAAGGAGGAGGATGCTCCTGGCAGAGAGGTTTCCTCACTTGTAGATAGTGTTCCATCTAGTGGGAGATTTTCTCTGTCAGAAGTCTGTCCATCTTTCCTACAAGCTGCAGAATTGAAAAAAAAAAAATCTGTGACGCCACCAAAGAAACTGGTAGATTCCAGTTAGAATTATAAACAAAATGCTTGTATTTGTGAAGTCCTCCAGGCACCTCCCCTCTCCCACCTGAACTGAGCCACCCCTAGCTCCACAAAGCAGGCAGCTTCATGCCTATGAACGAGGGTTCGAGGCTGTGCTGTGACCCGGCCCTGATGCTCTGACCCATCACCCCTGCCTTAGAGGGGCTCTGGAACAGACCTGACACTTCACTGGACCTTGCACCCCAGGACAGGACCCCAGGGCAGTCATTACTGGTAAATTTCTTACCCCTCACACCAATATATCCATTCATCTACTGATGTGACAACAACAGTGACACTGGTTTTGTGTGCCTTTGTTGCACTCGTGCAACTCCTCTTGAAGCAAATTCAGACTTGGAAATGTAATCCTTTCACTCTCAGAAGGAAACAACCAGCATCAGTTTCTAGGGGATGGACCAGTTCAGGATATGAGAGGAGTCCCAGCCTCGGGCATACACAAGGTGCCAAAAACACTGGAGACCATGGACACAGGGTGGAGGGGGAAAGCTGAATGGCAGCTCAAGAAGTGTCTGTACCAGACTCCACAGAGCCCATCCACCTCTCTCCATGCATACTGGTTTGCAAAACAAATTTCCCTCCTGGACGCATTTAGGGATATACTCGTTATTAAATAAAAGCTGGCTCTGCATTGGGCAGGGCTGAGAGAGGGAACCACTGTCCTGAAGGCCCTGTCAGCCCATGCCTGGATGTGCATCAGTGTCCTGGCTGGGACACATCTCTCACTGCCTGGGAAGCTGCACAGCAATGCTG